GGAAATGGGTTGGGAGTCGGGGGATCCAGGGTCGTCACGTTTTGCATCGGAGCATAGTATTATTTGCTGTAGAGTCAAAAATTTTTTTCTTTTTAATTGTCATTTAGAGTTTTCAGTTACACATTTGTCTTTGCGGTTTTTCTTTTAAACTTTTTAGAAAATTTGGCAGACTGAACCCCCATTCCTCCTGTCACCAATCTGAGGTGTGGAAGGGTAGTGCTCCCACGCTAACAGGGCACGTAATTTCCCCTTGGCCACAATCTCTACCAGTCCCGACTGCCTGCGCACGTGGAGGCCAAATGGTAGTTGCAATTTACCACCATGGCTGCCTCCTGGAGCTTCGTACGGCACAGAGAGGAAGGACGCGAGCTCTTCCTGACACCTGTGCAAAGAGAATTACTTCACTCGGTGACGGGAGCAGCCCTGGTCGTGCAGTGGGTTAAGCTTTGGACTTCTAATCTAAATGTTAGCGGTTCTAACCCTTCAGCTGCTTCTCCGGAGAAAGTGGCAGCAGTCTGCTTCCATCAGGAGATCCTGTCCCGATCTGTCCCATGGGCTGACTACGACTGGACTCAGAATCAACTCAGTGACAGTGAGTTTACCTGTGCGTTCTTCATTCACCGCAGAAGCCTGGCTCCTACGTAGCCCCTTGAATTGGCTGATGTTTGAGCTGAAGAAGGAGTCTCTGGGTATTGCAAACGGTTAAGCAATTGCCTGCCAACGGAAATGCTGGCAGTTTGGATCTACCCAAAGTACTGCCAAAGAAAGGCCTGGCAGTCTACTTCCAAAAGTTTGCCATCGGACGCCCCGTGGACCATGCCTCGCCTCTGATGCACAAGGGGTTGCCATGAGATGGAATGGACTTGGTTTTGCTTTTGAACTAGACAGACGTCTACAGCCACAGATACGCTCATCTCTTACTAGTTGATAGAAGGCCTCCTTGGCCTACACTTGGAATGCCTGTTCCTCCTCAGGTGGTTTTAATGGCAACAACCTCCCTGTTAACAGAGTTCCTATTGACTTACAAGGGACTTTGGGATGCATTTGATCAAGAAAGAGGAGACCAGGTCCTTTGAAGGTACTAGACTCACTGATCCTGGAGCCTCATCCCATCCTATTGACACCTCTGAAGTCTATTTGACGCAGACATTCCATCGTTGACCACTGCGATCAGTGAAAGTTTCACGGTCGCATGACCCCTTGACGGATGATGTACAGTGTTTATTTGTACGAGCCATGTCAATGGTGATGTAAAGAGGCCCTCTCCCGCTTGCTATTTTGAAACGCATTGCTATTTTGAACTGTATTGAGTGACCCCTACCCATTGCTGCAGGAGGAAATGGGGAGAGAGAGAAGAACCGGTGGAAACGTGAATTAAAAGATGCTGGGAAGAAGGCATAGGAACGTGAAAGGCAGAAACGAGGGAGGCGGGGAAGTACATGCGCTGAAGGGAGGCGAGGAGGCCAGACAAGGGAAGCAAGACCACCGGGGGCACTCACGGTTGAGCCGCCGCCTCCGGATCCGGTCCCTCCACGGCCTGTTGCGGATCCAGTGCAAGCGGGAAGGGAGCACCATGGTTCCAACGTGACGGCTAAGGCTTTCTCATGGCGGGGGAAACAAAGGGCTCCTCAGTCCTAGCTCCTCGGTCCTCTGGGAAGTCGAGTCCAGACGTTAAAGACAAAACAAAAACCAGCTAACCAGCCAACCAAATAAAAAGTCCTTTTTCACATCCCAGACATCCGTTTACTTTTTCTTTCTTTCTT